GGTATATGGGCAGGGATGAGAATGGGAACGGGGATGAGGATGGTGCTGGGGGCAGGGGTGTCTGCAGGGTCGAGCACCCTCAGTGGTGCAGGGGGTGCAGGGCCCAGCACCCCTCTCACACGAGCATCACCCTCCCCTTGCAGGGGCCATGGGGCCGCCCGGCCCGGGCCAGCAGCAGCTCCAGCCTGGACAGCGGGGTCCTCACTGTGGCACCGGGGCCCAGGGAGGAGAAGGTGGGTGAGCAGCAGGGCAGGCAGCCCGGCCCTTCCCCACCCCGCAGGGCAGGCTCAAACCTGACCCCCCTGCTCCCCCTTTGCCTTCCAGTTGAAGAGCCTGGAAAAGGCCGGGGTGCTCAACAGGACCAGGACAGTGGACAGGGGGAAGCGGATCCGGTAAGAGCATCCTGGCTCCCGCGGTGCCAGCAGCGATGAGGGAGCCCTGGGGGCACAGGGGCCATGGGCTCTGCTGACCCCCTGTGTGACCCCCCCTGCTCCCCAGGAAGAACTGGAGCTCCTCCTGGACTGTGCTGGAGGGAGGGATCCTCACCTTCTTCAAGGACTCCAAGCACTCGGCTGCTGGCGCCCTGGTAAGAGCCCAGCACCCATGGGGGGGGCCCAGCACCCACGGCACGAAGCTGGTGCCGGAGCACCCCAAGGAGCCCCAAGGGAGCAGGAGGAACCGGGCCCTGGCTCCCCCCCCAGCACCTGGTGCCACCGGATGCAGAAGCCGCCGTGGGTCTTGCAACAGCCCCGGTGGCGGCGGCCGGGGAGGGACCCACTGCCGGGATGTGGGTGCTGGGCCCTGTCTGGGGCGGAAACAGGGGCTGGGGAGAGCCTGGATGGAGGCGGCCGAAGCACCGCGAGCCCAGGGCATGGGGAGAGCCAAGCCTCCCCCGTGACCACCCCATGGGACTGTCCCCTCCCTGGGGACACCCACCCACAGTCACTGCAACGCTGCCACTGCTGCCACCCTAGAGCTGGGGATGTCCCATGAGGGGACAGCGGCTCTAGGACCTGGCTGCCCCCAGGCTGCTGCCCATGCCCCCACCGCAGCAGCGATGTGCCCTGGTCCTGCAGAGGGACCCCGGTGCCGTGGGAGGCCCGCACCGGCCTCTCTGGGTGGGGGGAAGCCCCCAGGACCGCGGGGTCCCCATCCCCTGTGGGCGGGTGCCCCCGGTGCCACCCCCATCCCCTTGCTCCAGCAGCGGCACCCCAGCACCCTGACCACCCCCGAGCACACCCTGGAGCTGCGCGGGGCCACCCTGGCCTGGGCCGGCAGGGACAAGTCCAGCAAGAAGCACGTCCTGGAGGTGAGCGGGGGACCGAGGGGCCATCGCCCGCACCTCGGGGCTGCCCACGGGGGCGATGCCAGCAGTGGTGCGGATGGGCTGGGGTCGGTGGCCGTGGGACACAGGGACGCGTCCCCAGGCTGGGGGTCAGGGCGGGTGCTGCACTGTCACCCACTGTCCCCCCCGGGCATGGAGGTGCCGCGGGGTCCCAGCCCGGTGTGGGCTGGCAGGGACCTGAGCGCTCCTCCAGGTCCAGCCCCGTGCCAGCACCCCCTGAACCGGCCCAGCCTGGCTGGAACTGCACTGGGGCAGCCTCTCGCTCCCACCGGGTTCTTCCACTCGGGCCTTGCACAGGGAGGAGGTTTCCCCTCACCAGCAAGCAGCAGTAACTGCACTACTGGTGCTCATGGGTGCGCTGAGCTGGGCACTGTGCTCAGCCACAGCCAGCCCTGACCTCTGCCCACTGCTCCCGCAGCTGAGGACGCGCGAGGGCTCCGAGTTCCTCATCCAGCACGACTCGGATGGGATCATGGCTGCCTGGCACAAGGCGATCGCCGACAGCATCGGGAGGCTGGTGAGCAGGGCCCCCCGCCCCGGCGCCACGGGGATGGGCACAGGGGGCTCACGCTGCCCCTTCCGCAGGGCACCGACCTCTCTGGAGATGAGGATGCCGAGAGCGGGGCTGAGTTCGGCTCCCGGGAGAAGCTGGGAGGGGGTGAGGAGAGGAGGGCAGGTGAGCTCGGGCACAGCGGCACAGGGACCATCCCCATCCCATCCCTGTCCCCATCTGCGCCTCCATCCTCATCCCTATCCCACCCCATCCAGTCCGTGTCCCCATCCCTGCATGGTGGCACCCACTGGGCAGAGTGGGGTGTCCCCAGCTCCCTGGCATGCTGGGACACGCCAGCAGCACCCCGATCACTTGGGATGATGCTGACGTGCGCCCTGACCCCACCAGCGATGGGCAACGCCAGCGGCGAGAGCGACTCCAGCAGAGTCCGGAACAAGCTCCGCAAGTTCCTGCAGAGGCGGCCGACGCTGCAGTCCCTGCGTGAGAGGGGCTACATCAAAGGTGGGTGCTGGGGTGGGGGTACAGCAAGGGGGGTGCTGGGGTGGGGGTACAGCAAGGGGGGTGCTGGGGTGGGGGTACAGCAAGGGGGGGTGCTGGGGTGGGGGTACAGCAAGGGGGGGTGCTGGGGTGGGGGTACAGCAAGGGGGGTGCTGGGGTGGGGGTACAGCAAGGGGGGGTGTTTGGGGTGGGGCTGAACCCCCTTAGGGTGATCCCCAGGCTGGAAGGGGAGCGGGGACGACCAAGGCTGGAGTTGGGGGCCAAGCCTGACCCAACATCTTGGTGATGGGCTTGGGCATATCCCATCACCTCCAGCCACCGCGGTGTCACAGCTCTATGGGAACAGGACCCTCTGCAGTGCCCCCAGCCCCGTTCCCCCCTGAGCCCCCCCCCAGACACCATTGGCATCACCTCTCGTGCTCAAGTCCCTATTGGCTTCCCCAGACCAGGTCTTCGGCTGCTCCCTGCAGGCGCTGTGTGAGCGGGAGCGGGGCACGGTGCCGCGCTTCGTCCTGCAGTGCATCCAGACCGTGGAGAGCAGAGGTACCACGGCGGGGACAGGGACAGCCCCGGGGCACCAGCGTGGGGACAGCCCTGGGTGAAGCCTTCATGTGATGGCTGGGTTTTCCCTGCGGCCCCGGGGCTGTGGGAACGTTGTGGTACCCAGAGCGGCCCCGATGGCGGCTGGTGACACATCCCCTGGGTTGTGGCGTCCTGGGACCGTTCCCCCAGCTCCACCCCTGCCCTCTGCCAGGCCTGGACATCGATGGGCTGTACCGAGTCAGCGGCAACCTGGCCACCATCCAGAAACTGCGCTACAAAGTGGAGCACGGTGAGGGCACCCGCGGTGCCACCAGGGGACAGAGGGGATAGAACCCACGGAGAGGGACGGGCCAGGAACCCCCGTGGGGCCCTGGGACCCACCTGAGGTGCTGCCCTGTCCTGCAGACGAGCACCTGGACCTGGATGATGGGCGCTGGGAGGACGTCCACGTGGTCACTGGCGCGCTGAAGCTCTTCCTCCGCGAGCTGCCCGAGCCGCTCGTCCCCTTCAGCCACTTCGAGCAGTTCATCGCTGCCATCAGTGAGGCGCAGGGCAGGGCTGGGATGGGGATGGGGATGGTGACAGGGACGGGAACAGGGATGGGGCAGTGGCAAGGACAGTGACAGGGATGAGGGTGGGAATGGGGACAAGGTCGGATGCTCTGGCTGCCGGAGCCAGCACCCACCGTGTCCCCCCTCCCCTGGCAGAGATGCAGGACCCGACGCGGCGGGGCTGGTGCATCCGGGAGCTGGTGTCCTCCCTCCCGCCCGCCCACCACGACACCATGAGGGCCCTGTTCCACCACCTCTGCAGGTGACACCTCCTCACTCCCCCAGACACAAGCGGTGCAGGGAGAGGGACAGGACCTGGGTTTGGGGACAGGCCGGGTGACACCGTCCTTTGTCCCCGCAGGGTTATCGAGTACAAGGAGGAGAACCGCATGTCAGTGCAGAGCATCGCCATCGTCTTCGGCCCCACGCTGCTGCGCCCAGCCAGCGAGGAGGGCAACATGGCCATGCACATGGTCTTCCAGAACCAGGTGGTGGAGCACATCCTCAACCAGTACAGCTACATCTTCCCCGACGGCTAGAGCTCCCTGGGCACGCGCGTGGGGACAAGCCCCACACTGGGGACGTGAAGGAGCAGCATCTCAGGGGAAGGACTTGACCTTGTGTCACCTCGGACGTGGCAATCGTGGGCTCCAGGAGGGGCCCCGTGGGGGCCTGGCTCGCTCAGGATGCAGCTTGAGGGCTGGCTGCTGGAGTCGGGGGCACCCCGAGCACCCCATCCTCCTCTGCCACCTGCTCCCGCTGGGGCTGGACCCACGGAGGCTGAGGCCCGGGAGATGTGTGGAGTCTGGGGGGTCCCCTTTGGTCAACGGGGAAACTGAGTCGTGTGGCACCAGTGACAGAGACCCAGCATCACTGCCGCGTGGAGATGGTGCCATGGCTGAAGCCAGCGTTCCCAATGGCACGATCCCAATGCCATACTCCCAAATAAAGAGCCAGTTCAGAGGACGAGTCGTTGCTGGAATGGCACCGGGACATCCCTGGGGATGATGGTGGCACCGTGGGGGCTCAGGGATGAGACCATGGGGATATCCTCACCACCCATGAGGACAAGGTGACCGCGACATCGCCAGAGGAGCGAGACCTCGGGTCATGGTGGCGCTTTGGGGCACCTTTCCTGGCTGGCACTGCCAACCCCCTGCCATGGCCAGTGTCCCCACAGACAGCAGGGGTGGGTGACAAGAGCAATGTGACCAGCGGGACACGAGCTTCCATCACCCAGGGTCAGCTCCCAGGTGAGGACACTTTGGGTCATGATGGGAACAATTTGGGATACAGGCAGGATGGGCTGGGATGCAAGAGGGACAGTGAGGGACACAACTGGAATGCACTGAGACCCTGGGAAGAGCACGGCAGGGAGCGAGGAGGAAGATTTGGGACCCTTGGGGATGCAGCGGAGCTCGGAGATGCCCCGGGGCACGAGGGGATGCTCGGGGGGGGCAGAGCCGGTTCCTGGGGCACGAAGCGGCGGCTCCAACCCCCGTGGGCCCCTCCGGGGCGGGGCGGGGCGGAGCGGGGCGGGGGGGCCGGGCCGGGGTCCTGCCGGGGCGGTGCCGCTCCGGGGGCAGGGCCGGGACCGGGCCCCGCTCCGCGCCCCCCGACCGGCTCCATCTTGAGCGCGGCTGCCGCGGAGCGGCTCCAGGTACAGCGGGGCCGGGGGGGGCGCGAACCCCGATCGGACCGCCCCCAGTGACCCCCCCCGGGGCCGTGCGGGACCCCCGGGGCGATGCCCCCCCTTAGATCCGTGCGGGACTCTCGGAGGGACACGAAACCCCCCCATCAGCCCCGTGCCCCCCCTCCCGCAGCCGGGGCTGCTCGGGACCAGGCACCGCCGAGCCAGCAGCAGCGACACCCCCACCCCTCTGGACACCCCCAATAGCAAACAGCGCGCCCCGAGCCTCATAGGGCACCCCCAGACCCTCACAGGCCCCCCCGGGGCTGTGTCCTCCCCGCCCCGGAGCAGGCACCAAGGGGTTACAGCGCAGAACCTGTTTTAGCGGCCAAAATCCCTCTTAAGGCGTTAATCGCAGTGGGAAGGGGGGTGCAAGGCCACAGTGTGTGTGTGTGTGTGTGCCCCCCCCGCGGCTGCGGACAGCGCCGGGCCAGGGACAGGTGCCCCCGGGCTGGGAATTCCATCCCAGTCACCGAACCTGGCTGGACTTGGATGGGATGGGGCAGAGGAAGAGGTGGGAGCGGGGCTGCAGGGTCGGGGGGGCAGGTGGGGCGCACCCCGGGGGGGCCGGCATTAGTCACAGTGTAAAGGTCGGTGTTTGCTGTGCCCGGTGCGGAAGTGGCACCGTGCCCGTGTCCCCGTGTCCGCGGTGCCTCCCGGCTGGCAGCAGGTAGGGAGGGCGATGGGGGGGGCCCTGTGCCCCCCAGCACAGGGTGAGCACCCAGCGGGGACCCACTGCACGTCCCCTGCGGTGATGGGGGTCCCAGGCTGGTGTCCCCTGGGCCTGGCATGGCCGATGCCCTGTGCCAGGGACAGGGCTGCAGAGCGACTGCTGCGCTGGGAGGGACCCACAGGGACAGGGCCTTGGGGTTCCCATAGGGACCAGGCTCTGCAAGTCCCTGTAGTGCCATAGGGATGGGGGGCCAAGCTCTGGGGGTCCTGACAGAGACCAGTCTGGGGGCGTCCCCACAGGTCCAGGTTCTGAGGGGCTCCTAAGGATCAGGCTTGGGGGCTCTGTACAGGGACACAACTCTGGATGTCCCTGTGGTCCCACAGGGATGGGGTTTTGGGAGTCCCCGCAGCCCCACATGGCCCCAACCTGGCCCCATGTCACCACAGCCATGGTGCCAGGATGTGGGGAGCCCCCCCCAGGTACTGTGGCCAAATCCTTCTCACCCTGCACCCAGCATCACCCCTTTTCCCCCAGTCCCCATCTGGAAGGACCCTCTGGGGCAGGGATCCATCAGGGGGTGACACCAGGTCCTGGCCTGCATTTTGGGGTGCAGGGGATGCGGAGAGCACCCGTGGTGTCCCCAGGCCCTCCCCAGTCCCCCCATCACAACAGACCCCACTGTGCTGGGATGGCAGCGGACGCCTGAGCCTCCCCCTGCCTGGGACCTGCCATGGAGACGGTCGTCATCGTGGCCATCGGGGTGCTGGCCACCATCTTCCTGGCATCCTTCGTGGCGCTGGTGGTGGTGTGCCGGCAGCGGTACTGCCACCCCAAGGACTTCCGGCACCACTACGACACCAAGTGAGTGACCGCGGCGGTGCCGTTGTCCCCGTCCCCCGCGGGTGAGGAGGTCTCCAAGCCCATGGGCAGGGGATGGTGCTGGGACACGGCAGCATCACCAGGGGGACGATGCCGGGCACACATCCAGCATCAGCAGGGGGCTGGAAGGGAGCAGGAGGTGTCCCTGTCCCCAGGGATGTCCCATGTCCCCAACAGACCCATTGTGGACCTCATGGGGACTTCTGAGACACCATCGGAGCCCTCAGAGCTGGAGCTGGACGACGTGGTCATCACCAACCCGCACATCGAGGCCATCCTGGAGAACGAGGACTGGGTCGAGGATGCCTCGTAAGTGTGTGTGTGTGTACCCCACTGCTGGGGACCCCCATGCAGTGCCACGGGGTGCAGGTAGCAGAGAGCTGGGGGTCACCAAGCTGGCCTCTGGGTGGGAATGTCCCCGAGGACCCGGGGCACATGGGGTGTGGGCAGGGGGATGGATGGGGTGAGGCTGGGGGGGTCAGCCTGGATTCACACCCTCCTTCTCTGCAGGGGTCTGGTGTCCCACTGCATCGCCATCCTGAAGGTGAGTCCCTGGGGTGGCACTGGTGGCACCGAGCACCCGCCCTGGCCCCACTCCCACTGCCCCCCCCGCAGATCTGCCACACGCTGACAGAGAAGCTGGTGGCCATGACCATGGGCTCGGGCGCCCGCGTGAAGTCCCCTGCCAGCCTCGGGGACATCATAGTGGTGGCCAAACGCATCAGCCCCAGGTGACGAGGAGGGTGCTGGGGCTCGGGGTCACCGCGGTGTCCCCTGGGGTTAACGGCATCCCATGGGCAGGGTGGACGATGTGGTGAGATCCATGTACCCGCCGCTGGACCCCAAACTGCTGGATGCGAGGTGATGACAGCAGCGGGAGGGAGGGGGGCACCCATGGGTGCCACAGGGGTGATCGGGGTGTGGAGCATCTCTTATGGGGAGAGAGAGCGGGAGCTGGGCCTGGTTAGCGCAGAGGAGGGCAGAGAGGGGATCCCACCAGTGCAGGTGTGAAAGGCGGGTGCCAGGAGGATGGTCCCAGACTGTCCAGGGCTGCACAAACCAACACACAACAGGCGTCACCTCCACGTGAGGGAGAGCGGCTTTGTATTGAGGGGGGCAGAGCCCCGGCACGGGCTGCCCGGGGCTGCGGAGTCTCCCTATCCAGAGACATTGAAACCACCACGGGCACGCTCCTTAGGCCCTGCTCGGGGCGGCCCTGCCTTGGCAGGGGTTGGACTGGGACCGGGAGCTGTTGGAGCGAGGCCAGAGCAGGGCACGGAGCTGCTGCGAGGGCTGGAGCAGCTCTGCCCTGGAGCCAGGCTGAGAGAGCTGGGCTGGGGCAGCCTGGAGAAGAGAAGGCTCCTGAAGGGGAGACCTGAGAGCAGCTCCAGTGCCTAAAGGGGCTGCAGGAAACCTGGAGAGGGGCTTGGGACAAGGGCCTGTAGGGACAGGCCAAGGGGAATGGCTTGAACCTGCCCGAGGGGAGACTGAGCTGAGCTCTTAGGCAGAAGCTCTTCCCTGTGAGGGTGCTGAGGCGCTGGCACAGGGTGCCCAGAGAAGCTGTGGCTGCCCCATCCCTGGCAGTGCTCAAGGCCGGGTTGGACACAGGGGCTCGGGGCTGGGCAGGCCCGGGGCTGACCCCGTGTCCCCGCAGGGCCGCGGCGCTGCTGCTCTCGGTCACTCACCTGGTGCTGGTGACGCGCAGCGCCTGCCGCCAACCCGCCGCTCGCCACTGGGTGGAGCGCTCGCTGGCGGCGGCGGAGGAGCACATGGCGGTGCTGCGGTCCGCGGCCATGGCCGCCGAGCCCGAGCGCCCGCCCGGCGCCGAACCCCTGCGCCAGGAGCAGTCGGTCATGTGACCGCGGCAGCCAGCCCGGGGCGCGGGGGGACCCGGAGGGGTTGGGGGGGTCTGGGTTCAGCGGGGGCCCGGGGGGGGTTGAGGGGGTTTGGAGGAGCTTGGGAGGGGAATTTGGGGAGGGTTTGGGGGTCTGGAGGGGGCTTAAGGGAGGTTGGGGGAGATGAAGGGGGTTGGGAGGGGATTTGGGGGTCTTCGGGGTTTGGCTGGGGATTGGCGGAGGTTTGGGGGGTTCTGAGGGCCCTGTGGGGTTTGAGGGAGGTCTCGGGGTTTTGGGGTGTTGTTGGTTTGGGTCTGTCCGAACAAAGCCGCAGAGGCTGGTTTGATTCTGCACCGGGGTTGAGAGCCCGTGGGCAGAGCTGGGCCTTATTAAACACAGCCGAGATGCCATGAAATACGTGTGCCTCCAGAGCTGCCTCTTCTGCGGCGTGAGCCCCAGGCACGCCTTTACCAAAAGCTGCTTGTGCATCCCGATGGATTCACACGTCTCTCCCCAGCAAGGGCAGCGGCTGCCCTGGGAGATGGAGACACTGATGGGTAAAAACTCTCCTGCCATTTCCACACTTGGGAGGCTGAAGGAAGGGCTGCGCTTCCCCTTCCCGGTCACTGATCACAGGCATTGTCTGTACTTGTTTAATTCCCCTTTAATGTACTTAAATCCAAGGGAGCAGTTCCTGTACCCACTAACAGTGCAGTTTGTTCTCTCCCAAACCTGAGGGTCCCCAGGGGCTCGGCTGGGGATTTCTCCCCCCCCAGTGCAGAGTCCTGGTCTGCAGTAGCTCAGCGAATCCGGGATCCTCCTTCCTCTCGGGGCTCTTCCTTCCGGGAATTCTTACGCGCACGCCCCAGGTTCCCTCTCCCAACGCCCCTTTGCTCACGGAGCAGCCAGCGCCGTTTCCCCAGGGGAACCGGGGGGGTGGAAGAGGGTTTGGGGCAGCTGGGGGGTGGCGGGGCAGGTTGGGGGTTTTGGGCGGGTGGCAGAAGGGGACTGGAGTTGGGGGGGGGGTGTTGGAGACTGGAGGAGGGTTGGGGGGGTCCGAGCTCAGCACCGGCCCCGGGGCCGCTCGGGACAGGGGGGGGTCGCTGCCCCCCGGGCTGAGACTCGCGCAACTCATCACACTCAGCCGCGGGGTGGCGGTGGTCACGTGAACCCTCATCACGTGACGGAGCGGGCGGGGTGCAGGGTAAGGGTGAACAGGCGGGTTTTCCCGCCCCTTTTCGCCGAGTTGACCAATAGGAGAGGGGCTGGTGGAGAGATGAACCAATGGGGAGCACGGGGTGGGGCTTCGCGGCTGGCTGGCACCGGGACAGGGACAGGGGTCGGGATTGGGACCGGGACCGGGAGCGGGTACGGGGGCACTGGGAGGTTCCGGGGTCTCTGCGGGTCACGGGGGCTGTGGGGGCAGTGGGAGTAGTGGGGGGTCTGGAGTTACTGGGGGGCACTGGGAGCAGTGAGCCCCTTCCCCAGAGACGCCGCCCCCAGTAACACCCCCCACAGTGACCACCCCCTCCCCAGTGACCCCTCTGCGGCGTGTCCGGTACCGGGGGGGGTGGGGGGGGGCTCTGGGTTTGGAGCCGGGGGGCAGCAGCCACCCCCTCCTTTTGACCCGCACACGTGTGACAGGGCCCCGCCCCCACAGCTGCGGCGGGTGGAAACCGCGTCGGGAAAGAGAAGTGAAAGTGATCCTGGAAGAGAGTTATGGGGGGGCAGCCCATAGCACCCATCGGTACTGATCGGGGGGGGCAGCCCTTAGCACCCATCGGTGCTGATCGGGGGGCGCAGCCCATAGCACCCATCGGTGCTGATCGGGGGGCGCAGCCCTTAGCACCCATCGGTGCTGATCGGGGGGCGCAGCCCTTAGCACCCATCGGTACTGATCGGGGGGGCAGCCCTTAGCACCCATCGGTGCTGATCGGGGGGGCAGCCCTTAGCACCCATCGGTGCTGATCGGGGGGGCAGCCCTTAGCACCCATCGGTGCTGATCGGGGGGGCAGCCCTTAGCACCCATCGGTACTGATCGGGGGGGCAGCCCTTAGCACCCATCGGTGCTGATCGGCAGCCCTTAGCACCCATCGGTGCTGATCGGGGGAGCCCTTAGCACCCATCGGTGCTGATCGGGGGGGCAGCCCTTAGCACCCATCGGTGCTGATCGGGGGGCAGCCCTTATCACCCATCGGTGCTGATCGGGGGGGCAGCCCTTAGCACCCATCGGTACTGCTGGGGAGGAGCTGCTAGACTCTGCTATCCCCCCGACTGGCTTCCTGTGCCACGGGGAGATGTTATCGGGGTGCTGCAGGTGGTGGCTGGGGTGCCAGACACCGCAGCAGCCACACTGGGGGGGGGGGAGCCCTGAATGAGGAGGGGGAGCTGGGGTTTTTCCAGCACATGGCTGAAAGGGGAAGTGGGACCGGGGGGGGCGGTGCTGCTGCCCCCCACTTCGTGAGTGGGAAACTGAGGCACGGCTGTGCCGGGGGGGTTCTGCCGCCTGCAGATGCCACCAGCGCCATGAGGACCCTCCTGCTGCTGTGGCTGGTCCTGTCTGGAGCCAGCGCCTGGTGCCACGATGGGCAGCCATGTCCCTCCACCCCGGTGAGTGCCCAGGGTGAGGGGGGTCCGGGGGTGCCCCACCACTGGGTAACCCCCCCATGCACCCCCTGTCCCCAGGTCCTGCGCGCCAGCAGTGCGGTGCCGTGCCGGGATGGCTCGTCCTGCCCCAGCACAGGCAGCTGCCCACTGCCAGAGGTGAGTCTCTGCACTGTGCCTCAGTTTCCCCCTTCTCTCTGCTATTCCCAGGGGGCTTTTCCTCCTCATCCGCCCCCCTTCTCTCTCCCCAGAGTGTCCCCTGCGCTGACGGCCACCACTGCTGTCCCCGAGGCTCCCGTTGCAGCGCCGATGGTGAATCCTGCATCACACCCCCAGGTAAGGGGGGGGCACATGTGGGTGGGGGTACACGGATGGGCCTGGGGGTGGACGGGATGGGACTTGGGGGTCCTTCACCCCGTCCCCACTCTTTGCAGCCCCTCGCGCTGTGCCCTGTCCCGACGGACAGTCTGAGTGTCCCGATGATGCTACCTGCTGTGTGACGGCCAGCGGCGCCTGGGGGTGCTGCCCCATGCCCCAGGTATGGGGGGACGCACGACATGGGGACACTGTGGGGGGGACATCCTGTGGTCATTGCTGTGACAAGCGTCCGGTGCCCGCAGGCCTCGTGCTGTGCCGACAAGGTGCACTGCTGTCCCCATGCCACCGTCTGTGACCTGGCCCACGGGCGCTGCCTCTCACCCGCCGGTGACACCCCCATGGGCACCACCTTCCCTGCCTGGAAGCGCCAGCCCCTGGTGTCAGGTGAGGGGTGTCCCCACGCGGGTGCAGGGGTGCCCGTGGAGGGGGCACGCAGGGGACACGGGGACGCTGTGTGCGTGTTCCCGCAGTCGCACTGCACCAGGTCCTGTGTCCCGACGGCCGCTCGGCCTGTCCCGACGGTGCTACCTGCTGCCAGATGTCCCCGGCGCACTACGGCTGCTGCCCCCTGCAGAACGTGAGTGACAGCCCCGCCACAGGCACCCCCTGCCACCCACCCCACACCAGGCAGCTCAGAGCAGACTCCCTCCCCCAGTAACACCCCTACAGTGACCCCAGACCTCCACACCAGACACCCCACACTGAGAATCCCACGTTGGGCACTCCGTATCAGGTACCATGTCCCAAGCACCCCATGGCAGCTGCCCCATACCAGCACCCTGTGCTGGCAGCCCATACTGAGCACCCCATGTTGGGTACTCTGTGCTGGTTGGGTGCTCCATAGCAGACATGCTGTCCCCATCACCCCATGTCAGACACCCTGTGCTGGGCGCCCCATGCCCTACCCTGTGCCATGCACCCCACGCTGTCAGCCCATCCTGTCCCCTTGTGTCCCAGTGGGGCCCGTGTGCGGTGGCACGGACGCAGCTCTCCCCTGCAGGCCGTGTGCTGCAGCGATGGGCAGCACTGCTGCCCTCAGGGCACTGTCTGCGACCTGGAGCGCTCCACCTGCACCTCCTTGGGGGGCCGGGAACCCCTCCAGGCGTTCCTGCCCAAAGGTGAGGCCCCCCCATGCCCTGCCCCGGCCTGGGGAGGGGACACCGGCTCTGAGTGTCCCCTTGTCCCCAGCGCGTGAGGTGAAGTGTGACGAGGAGACGAGCTGCCCCAGTGGGAACACGTGCTGCCGGCTCAGCTCGGGGGCATGGGGATGCTGCCCGCTGGAGGAGGTATGGGGGAGCTGTCCCCAAAGTGTCCCCTGGGTGGGATGAGGGCTCATGTCCCCTGTTCCCCAGAACGGACAAAGAGGGCTCGTCCCATGGGGATGGGGGGTGCTGCTGGACCCCCAGTCAGCCCCCATCTGCTAACTGGGACCAGTTTGGGGTGGTGGGGGGTGATGAAGGGACACTGGGATCCTTGGGGACCTTCCTGTGCCTGGCTCTGGGAGGGTCAAGAGTGATGAGGGGGGTCCCCTATCCCCTCACCCCCACCCAAAGGCATGGATGGAGCCAGGCGGGGATGGGGAGGGCACAGGCAGGAGGCACAGTTTGTCCGGGTGGGGGCAGGCGGGGCTCTAACCCTCCCTTTGCCCCCCCAGGCCGTCTGCTGCCCCGACCACGTGCACTGCTGCCCCCAGGGCTACACCTGCGACCCAAGCGCGGGCAGCTGCCTGCAGCAGGGGGGGGGCCGCCGGCCCTGGCTGCGGAAGACCCCGGCGCTGTGGCGGGGGGGGGACGTGCAGTGCGACGAGGAGAGGAGCTGCCCCCAGGGCAGCACCTGCTGCCGGCTCAGCTCGGGGGCCTGGGGGTGCTGCCCCCTGGAGCAGGTCTGGGGGCGCTGCACAAGGGGATGGGGTGGAACGGGGGGGGTTGGGGTGAGACCCTTTGGGGACAGGCAGAGCTGGGAGGGGGGGACAGGGACATAGGACACCCCCACCTCCATCAGTGTGCCCCTCCACGGGGGCTTTGTGGGCACCTTGGGGACAGGG